GGACGGCCGAGGGGAGCGAGGCAGGGTTGCATAGGGGTGCTCACCCCTCCCAGTTTTCCAGCTCCTGGACATGAAAGTGTTCGTGGACACGGACTCTGACATCCGGCTGGTGCGGCGGCTGCAGCGCGACATCATGGAGCGCGGCCGGGACGTGGCGGGGGTCATCAAGCAGTACAACAAGTTCGTGAAGCCGGCCTTTGAACAGTACATCGAGCCCACCGTGCAGGTCGCCGACATCGTGGTGCCCAGGGGTGAGGCCAGAGCTGATCCCGCCGTTGAGAAGGGGTGTTTTGGGGCAGGAGCGGGTCAGCATCCGTCCCACCTGGCTCCTCTGCTCCCCTCTCAGGTGGGGAAAACTTTGTGGCGCTGGACCTCATCGTGCAGCACGTGCACAGCCAGCTGGAGAAGGTGAGCTGGGGCGAGGGTCGGGAGAGCCCTGCACGGAGAGGGCAGGATGGGGCCGTGCACAGCCCTGCGCTCCTGGAGCACCGAGGGGGCTCGGCGTCACCTCTCTCTTCTCAAGAGGCCTCAGCGCGGCTCTCGGGGCGGCAGAGCTGCGAGGAGGGCACTGGGGAGGAGGGTGGGAGCTGGCCGGGCTGCCCACGATGGCTGTGCTGGCCTGTGAGTGACTGACCGGGTGTCCTTGTGTCCTTCTGTGCCGCGCCGATGACCCTTCCACTGCCCAGCGTGAGATCACAGTCAGGTACGTGGGTCCCGCCGCCACAGCAGGGCCGGTTCCGGGCTGGGGTGGGGGGCTGCTGGCACCCGCTGGATCCTGAGTCCTGCTGCCTCCCCGTCACCACTGGCAGAGCTTTGCTGTGGTGCCTGAGTGTAGCTGCTCCTCCCCGATGCTGCAGTGGGTGCTCTCAGCTCCCTGGGGCTCTGCGTGACCCGTCCCACGCTGCACCCGATGTGTGCAGGCAGCTCTCCACCCTGCTCCCGTCCCTGTCTGGAGTGGGGCTCCTGCCCCGAGTGCTGGGTTGTCCTGGGCTGTTCACTTTTGCAGGAGAAGTGCCCTGCGTGCTCCACGTTCCCTGGGAGTTCGTGTCCCCCTCTCGATGGGACAGCCCTTGTCCCTTGGCACAGCCTGGTCCCGGGGTGTGTGGGATGGTCCTGCCCCTGCAGAGCTGCTGCTTCCCATGCTGGCTGAGGCCAGTGCTGTGGAGGCTGCAGCAGCAGCGTGTGTGGTCTGGGAGATTCGCCCTGGTCTGTCTCTCTGGTACCTGGTACCAGACGTGGGTCATTCCTCAGGATCCAGGCGGGAAGGCCACGTGCTTCCCGGTGACCAGAGGGGTCTCCTGGAGCCTTCCTTCAGCGAGGCCGTGTCCCTCCGAGGGCCCAGCGTGGTGGCTCTGCTTGTGCTGCAGGGCTCTGACCCCCTTTCTCTCCTGCAGGGCAGCCCTGGCCTCTGCTCACCAAGGGCAGCCTCTGCCGAAGACGCTGAGCGTGCTGGAGAGCACCCCACAGGTGCGGGGCATGCACACCATCATCAGGTACGGCCCTGCCCCTACTCCAGGCTCTTGGGTGGTGTCACACCACGAGGCCTGGGGAGAATGTTCCTCCTCTCTGCCACGGGATGTCAGTCGAGGGTGTTGGCCTGGAGCAGAACAGCTGAAGGGAACTGGCCCACAGGCACTTCTCTGGTGACGAGACCTTGGCACACCTGCCTTGGGTGATGCCTGAGCCAAGGGCTGCCTTTTGCTACAAAGAGAGGGGACTGATTGGCTCTTTCCTCACTGGAGCACAGGGTGGTGGCTCAGGGCAAGGTGCCTCCTGCCCCTCTCCCAGGGCACTTGAGTTTACAGCTAGCTTAGAGAAGGAATCTGGGCTGCTGCTTCCGTGACTTCACCACTCCCTTGATCTTTTCATTCCTCTCTGATGCTCCTTTTGTCCAGGTGACAGTAGTGTTAGTCCAGGGTCAAGGGCTGGGTCCCCTGGAACCACTGAGGGGTTCCCTGTTGTTCTGGCTACAGAATCTGGCAGTCCCTGTGTGTGTTTCTGCACAGCAGAGAGGGAATGCTGAGCTCAACCGGGCCCTCCTGTGCCTGTGCCTGCTGTGGTGGAACAGCACCTGTGTGTGGGTTTGGAACCCCGTGTCCTTGTCAGAGATCTGGAGGGGATCGAGTGCACCTTTGTACATTCACAGATGAGACCAAGATGAGTGTGAGTGTGGATCTGCTGAAGGGCAGGAGGGCCCTGCAGGGGGATCTGGACAGGCTGGATTGGTTGGCTAAAACCAGTGGTGTGAGGGTCAACAAGGCCAAGTGCCAGATCCTGCCCTTAGGTCACCATAACACCATGGAATGCTCCAGGCTGGGACAGAGGGGCTGGAAAACCAGAAAAGGCCCTGGGGGTGCTGGTGACAGCGGCTGGACAAGATTCTGGGTGTGCCTGGGTGGGCAGGAGGCCAGTGGCCCCGGGGCTGTGCCAGCACTGCTGGGGCAGCAGGGCCAGGGCAGTGCCCTCCCTGTGCTGGCACTGCTGGGGCACCTCCAGTGCTGGGGCAGCTCTGGGACCTCACACAGGAGACACAGGGAGGGGCTGGAGCGTGGGCAGGGAAGGGAAGGGAGCTGGGAAGGGGCTGGAGCAGCAGGAGGGGCTGAGGGAGCTGGGGGGGCTCAGCCTGGAGCAAAGGAGGCTCAGGGGGGACCTTCTGGCTCTGCAACTCCCTGACAGGAGGGGGGAGCCGGGGGGCGGGTCGGGCTCTGCTCCCAGGGAACAAGGGACAGGAGGAGAGGGAACAGCCTCCAGCTGTGCCAGGGGAGGGTTAGGTTGGATATAGGAAACAATTCCTTCACAGAAAGGGCTGCCCAGCCCTGGCACAGCTGCCCAGGGCTGTGGTGGAGTCCCCATCCCTGCAGGGATTTAAGAGCCTTGTGGATGTGGCACTTGGGGACACGGTGTTAGTGGTGGCCTTGGCAGTGCTGGGGGAGCGTTTGGACTTGGTGGTCTCAGAGAGATTTTCCAACCCAAACAATTTATGCTCTTGTGATTCTTATGACCCCGTGCAGGCCGGGCACCGCCTGGTACATTCCTCTCCCTGCTCCTCCCTCCCGAGGAAGCGCAGGCTCCGGGGTGGGTCACGGCAGTAAAACAGGTGATGTGGCACCACAGGCCGTGCCAGGCACAGCCCTGTGCCAGGGCCCACGTCCCTCCCCCGGGCTGTGCCTCTGCCTTGTGCCACGAGTGCCTGATGACCTTAATCTGCTGAGGCTCAGGGCTGTGCTGAGCTGCCTGGGGGGGGTTGGGCTGTTCCTGGGCCCTGCAGCACCGCTGGCCTCGAGTTCCTGTGCCCGTGCCACGTGGGAGTGGGGTTGAGGGTGGTGGGCTGAGCCCCTTGCAGATGGTAACTGAGAAAGGCTGTGTTTCTGAGGGGTGTCAGTTTGGCCTGTCAGCTGCCTCCTGGGATCCTGCTGGGGCTGGGGCAATGCCATTCCCAAATCCCTGAGCCAGGGAGCTCTGCTGGGAGAAGTGCCTGTGTTAGGGGACGGGGAGGCAGCTCCTGTGAGGCTTGTCAGCACTTGCTGGCTTCTGCATGACTTGGTGTGGGGCTGTGGCTGGTCCCCATGTGGGACCCTCTGCTCCCAGGCTGCTGCTCTTACCTGCTGCCCTTCTCCTGGTCTCCCAGGGAGCTCCAGGCTGGCGGGGACCAAACGCACCTTTTGCCACACTTCCTGCAGCTCTGTGCTCAAGGTTACTGCATCCCAGCAGATCTGGCTCTTGTCTTTATGCATCAAATCAGACAGTGGTTTGGGTGGGAGGGACCTTTAAGGGATCCCTAGTCCAGCCCTTGCCATGGGCAGGGAACCTTCCACTAGACCAGGTTCCAGCTGCCACGGTGCCACTGTCCCCGCTCGCAGTGCTCGTGGGGTGCTGCTGCTCCCACCAGCACAGCCTTTCCCAGTGCCTTGGCATCCCAAACCCGGGGCCTGGATCACTGCAGAGTTGTGAGCCAGGATTCCCCTCCTTTTCCTGGCCTGCCAGGCTGCTGCCAGCCGGCACCATCCCCTGTTGTCCCACACTGGAGGCTACTCGTGCTCCACCCGTCTGTCTGCTGGGAGGGTGTTGGTGGCAGCAGATGAGCATCACCACAGCAGATGCAGGCTGGCATCCCGGGGGAAGTGCTTTCCAGAGTGATTTTCTGTTGTTGTGGAGGGGCGGAAACTGAAAATGAGCCTCGCACTAGAATAGCTGCACAGTTTGAGTCATGAGGCTGAGGACGGATGGGGTACGAAGGATGCAGTGACAGGACAAGGGGGAATGGCTTCCCACTGCCAGAGGGCAGGTTAGATGGGATATTGGGAAGGAGTTCTTCCCTGTGAGGGTGGTGAGGCCCTGGCACAGGTTGCCCAGAGAAGCTGTGGCTGCCCCATCCCTAGAAGTGTTCAAGGCCAGGTTGGATGGGACTTGGGGCAACCTGGGATAGTGGAAGGTGTCACTGCCCATGTCAGGGGGCTGGGGCAAGATGACCTTTAAGGTCCCTCCTGACCCATACCATTCTGGGACTCTGTAGCCCATCGGTGCCCAGGTTTCCAGGGCCTGGCTGTGCCACTTGGCTCTCGGCTGCGGAGAATCCTGTTTGTGAGTGGAGCCAATTCAAACTCCAGGCAGATGCTCCCGGTCCCTCCAGGCCATCCAGCGCCCTCCTGCTGCCTCCTGAGCATGCTGGGGAAGGCTGAGGTCCTCAGGAGTGCCAGCTGTGGGCTCCCGTGTGCCACAGTTCTTGTGCCCCCTCCACAGGTGGGAGCAGTGCATGCCCTCAGTGGGTGGGTGGACTGGTGTTGGGACAGTGGTGTCCCCTTTGGGAATGCTCTGCCACCTGAGGAGGCGGGATGGTGGCAGTGATCCTGGTCCCCTGCTGCTGCCAGGGGTGTCTGGCTGCCCTCCCTCGCACGCCCCTTCCCCCTGTGTCACCGAAGCTGCTTGTGCCTTGTATGAGGAGAATTATCATAGTTGTCTGTGCCTCATGGTGGGGCTGGGGGTGCTCCCCCCTCCCCAGAGGAACCTGCCTGTGCAGGAGCACTGGGGGTCCCGTCCCACCCGGTCGGGGCTGGCACAGCCGGTGTGGGGCTGGGTGGGGGCAGCTGCCTGGGACGGGCCAGGCTGCCGTGGAGGCAGGACAGGCTGCCGTGGAGGCAGGACAGGCTGCCGTGGAGGCAGGGCAGCTGCCAGGCTCGTGCTGCTCCCGAGATGCCGTGGGTGTGTGTGTGGGTGCAGCCCATCCGTGAGTGCGCGCTGACAGCCCGTGCTGGGAGCCGTGGGCAGGGCGCCTGTTCCTCCCAGACCAGAAGTTGTATTCCGCCTTCCCTGGGGGTGCCAGCTATGCCTGGGGATGTCTGTGTCCATGGGCTGCTGTGGTCGCTGCGGGTGCTTGCCCATGAGTGTCCCTGGGACAGGAACACCCAGGGACAGCAGTGACTGTTGCTCCTCCTCTGGGCGCCTCGGTGGGGCTGTCTGTCAGCCGACGAGGTGTGAGAAGCAGCAGATGATGTCTTGAAATGCAGAGTAAAAATATTCGATATCCTTCTGCCTTTTCTGGAGCGTTGCCAGCTCCACCTCTTCCATCTGGGAACAAGCACATGTCTGTGGAGCTCCTTTGTCCTCACGTTCCCCTCGAGGCTGGTAGCCAGAGCACTCCCGGTAGGAAAAGCCCATGGCTTTCCCTCTGCCCTGGGGTCAATGCCCTGCACACAGGGCTGACTTTACCCCTCCTGAGGGAGGGGACGGGTTTCCTGGAAATTGCAGCTCTGTGGCAGCTTTGTTCTAGTTCGTGTTTGTTTTACTTCTCGCTGTCCTCAGCCCGTCAGGGCTGTGAGGAGGGCATGCCGGGTATTTCAGAGTCACCTGGTTCGTTGGCAGTGCTTTATCTCTGACTTAGTACCTAGAGGGAGGGGCTGGGGATGTGTTCAACCTTTTCCCATCATCCAGCATGCCGGCCATGGTGCACTCTGGTCTCTTCCATGGTGGGGTCCTGATCCATCCTGGCTCTGCTCCTGTTCCCCCCTGGGCTCCCCAACACTCACCCATTGCTCCTGACCCCCAGGACCGCTGGTGCTGCCTGACCTGCTCCCACCCCCCGTTATCTCCCAGCTCTCTCCACTGTCTGCAGGCAGTGTTGTGTCCCTCTCCTGGGGGAATTGAGCCCCTCTCTTACTGCGTGGTCCCATCTAAGACAACAGCCAAGGCCTCTGAGTGCTGAAATGCTGGTGATCATTGACTGTGTCACCCCGAGGGGGCTCTGGTTCCCATGGACTGGGACTGCTCTCCCTGATGGATGGCCTCTGGAGCCCTGCATGCCATCTGCAGGGAAATAGTGGTGGCTCTGCTCCCATCTCATGCGTGTCCTCCCTCCCAGGAACAAGGACACAACCAGGGATGAATTCATCTTCTACTCCAAGCGCCTGATGCGGCTGCTGATCGAACATGCCCTGTCCTTCCTGCCCCTGAAGGTGAGTGGCTGCTCTCGGGCGCAGCCCCAGCCCCATCCCCGTCCCCCCTCCTGAGCCCCTGGGCCACGAGGCCTGGCTTCCCCCGCACTCCCCTGTGCTCCCCTTTCTGCAGTCGGTCACTGTGGAGACGCCCCAGGGCACGACGTACGAGGGGAAGCGGTTCCACAGGCAGCGGGTGAGACACGGTCCCAGCCCCTCTGCTCCCCACGGGCAAACATCTGCCCCGGGCCAGGTCAGCACGTGCCAGGAGCGCCCGGCACTCATGTCCCTGCCCCTTCCCCAGATCACCGGCGTGTCCATCCTGCGAGCGGGAGAGACCATGGAGCAGGCCCTGACCGCCGTCTGCAAGGACATCCGCCTGGGCAAGATCCTCATCCAGACCAACCTGGACACGGGAGAGCCCGAGGTGAGCCCCGCTGCGCCCCGGCACGCGGCCACGCCGGCGGGTCACCGACCAACCCTCCTTCCCTCCCCAGCTCCACTACCTGCGCCTGCCCAAGGAGATCAGCGAGGACTACGTCATCCTCATGGACAGCACCGTGTCCACGGGGGCCGCGGCCATGATGGCCGTGCGTGTGCTGCTGGTGAGGGGCCGGGGTGGCGGTGGCGGGGACGTGGGACCCTCTGTGCCCGGCCGGGCTCTCAGAGCCCCGTGTGCTGCAGGACCATGACGTGCAGGAGGACAGGATCTTCCTGCTGTCGCTGCTGATGGCAGAGATGGGGGTGCACTCCGTGGCCTATGCCTTTCCCCGCGTCCGCATCATCACCACCGCCGTGGACAAGCGAGTCAACGAGGAGTTCCACATCATCCCGGGCATCGGTGAGGGGGACAGGGGTGTGCTGTGCCTCACAGCCAGGCCCAGCACCCTTGGGGGGAGCCCCACGGCCACACTGAGGGGGCTCTGGCAGGGATTGCAGCGGGGCCGGTGCCGCCATCCCCTCACTCTGTCCCCTCCTCCTCCAGGTAACTTTGGGGACAGATACTTCGGAACCGATGGCCCCTCGGGCTGGTGTGAGAGTGACGGCGTGAACTGCTGAGCTGGTCAGCCGTGGGGCCACTGGCCAGGCTGGCTGCAGGGCCGGCCCCCACCCCTGCCCCCCGGAGGGGCTCCATCCTGCCAGCCTGTGCCCACCTGGCAGCCCCCGGCTCTCAGGACCTGCAGAACAAGCCCCTCGCTGCCGGCCTCCCTCCACCCCAAAGGACCAATCCTCCCCAGGGAGGAGGAGGAGGAGGAGGGGGGGATGGCCTCTCATGCAGCCCAGGGAGAGGGGACATTTCAGCACATTCCTTGCCATCTGAGCCCCCTGCCTCTGGGGCCCTGGCCAGCCGTGCCTCCAGAGGGAGTGGTGGTCTCCCCACAGCTGTGCCTGAGGGGCTGCTTACCCTCTCCCCAGGGGAGGAGGGGGACAGGGCCTGGTACCCACTGGGCATTGGGCGAGCTTCGTGCCTGGAATCCGTATTTATTTGTATTTATTGTGGGTAGCCCCAGGTTCCAGCAGGACCCCCGACATCAGGGACTGGGACCTCACGTTCCCACTGCCTCCCCGCCGATCCACACTCCATCCCTGCCAGTCCGCACTCCATCCCCACCCTGTGGCCCCGGGAGGAGCGGGGTTGGCATCTGGCTGCTCTCCCGGCGGTGTCCCGGCCCCGGTGCGCGGAGCGGAGCCGCTGTCCCCGGGGGCGGCGAGGCGTCCCCGGCGCTGCCCTTGTCGCTCAGGTTCTTCTTCCAAAGGGCAGCGGCGGCCTCGCCCCGCCCCGGCGGCAGCGGGAGGCTCCGGGGCCGGGGCCGTGCCCCCCGCGCTGTGCCGGGGCCCGGCCGTGCCGTCACCCCCCGGGCTGCCCCCGCCGCCGTTTTGTACCAATAAAGGAGCAGCGCGACCCCCGAGTGCCGCCGAGTGCCGCCGCGGGGCCGGGAGCGGGGCGGGCGGTGTCCGGGTACCGGACCGGGAGCGGGGCGGGCGGTGTCCCCGGGCCGGGCGGGGGGCAGTGCGGCTGTCCCGGAGCCGGGCGGTGCGGGGCGTACCCGGGGCGGGACGGCGGGTCTGGGCCGGTGTGTCCGGGGCCGGTGCGGGGTGTCTGGGGCTGGTGGGGCCGGGCCCGTGTCCCCGGTGCAGGGGGGGCCGGGGCCGGGCGGTGTCCCCGGTGCGCGGTGTCCCCGGTGCGGGGTGTCCCCGGTGCGGGGTGGTGTCCCCGGTGCTGGGTGGTGTCCCCGGTGCGGGGTGACCGGGCCTGTGTCCCCGGTGCGGGGTGTCCCCGGTGCGAGGTGTCCCTCGGTGCGGGGTGTCCGGGCCGGGCCCTTTCCCCTCGTTGCCGGGGCGCGGGCGGCGCCTGCGCAGAGCGGGCGGAAGCGGCGGCGGGCGCGGGCAGGGCCGGTCCGGGGCGGTCGGTGCCGCGTCCACTCCGACCCCCGGGGCTCTCGGCGCGGCCATGGCGGAGCCCCCGCGGCCGCAGCGGAAGCTGTCCCGGGTCGGGGAGAGCCTGTACCGCGTGCTGGGGCTGCAGAAGGGCAGCTCCCCCGAGGAGATCAAGAAGGCCTATCGGTACGAGGGGGGGGGTTCGGTGGGGTCCGGGGAGAGGGGACCGGCCGGGGGGAGTCGTCCCGCGAGCCTCGGCGTGCGGGTCCGTCCCGGGAACGCGGCCGGGATCCCGCGCGGGTGGTCCCGGTCCCACCCCGGGGGCCTGGGTCTGTCCCGAGGGGCGAGGAGGTGCTCCCGTCCCGGGGGTCCCGCTCTCACCCCGGGGCTCTGGGTCTGTCCCGGGGAGCGAGGCCGTGACCCCGTGCCGGGGGTCCCCCCGCCGCGCCCCGCAGGAAGCTGGCCCTCAAGTACCACCCGGACAAGAACCCCGATGACCCGGCGGCGGCTGAGCGGTTCAAGGAGATCAACAGCGCCCACGCCACGCTGAGCGACGCGGACAAGCGCCGCCTCTACGACCAGTACGGCTCCCTCGGCCTCTATGTGGCCGAGCAGTTCGGCGACGATGCCGTCCGGCACTACTTCCTCATGTCCAAGTGGTGGTTCAAGGTGAGCCGGCGCCATCCGGATCCACGGGCTCGGTGGGCCGCCGTCTCTCCCGGCAGGCCAGGGGCTCGAGTGGGCTCCAGTGGGCTCGAGTGGGCTCGAGTGGGCTCGCGGGACCAGCATGATGGGGACCAGGGGCTCAGGTGAGCTCACAGTGCCTCCGTCCCTCCTGCAGGCGCTGGCGCTGTGCTGCGGTATCCTCACCTGCTGCTGCTGCTGCTGCTGCTGCTTCTTCTGCTGCGGGACGTGCTGCCCGCCCAAGGAGGAAGAGTCCTACAAGTACGTGGACCCCAAGGACCTGGAGGCGCAGATGCGCGCGGAGGACAGTGGTGAGTTGGGCTGGGTCGGGCTGGAGCCCCAGCAGCTGGGACTGCCTGCTTTTGATTTGTTGGGGGCTCTGGGGTCTCCCCCTGTCGCATCTCACGTGGGGGATGGAGCTCTGGCTCAGGGCTTGGGTCGGATTTAGCCACAGCCAGCCCTCGGTGTTTTCTGTGTGGGCAAGGGCTGGTGACAGTGACAGAGGGAGCCACTGGATGGGCCATGGGGATGCCTTCTCCTTCCCCATTTGCCCCTGGGAAAGGGCCCCCCTGACTCGGCCTGTGGCTTGGAGACCCTTCGCCTGTGCTCTCTGGGGTATGGAGCGTGGGAAGAGCGGCCACGCTCCAGGCTGGCTCCGTTCTCTGGCACTGGCAGTGCTGGTGTGGAGGGGGCTGACGCTGGGTGACTGACACAGGCTTCTGTGGGGTGGGGGCACTGCCACAGGGCTCTGTGCTGGCAGTGTGGGAGCCCTTGCTCTGGGTGTGGGAGCCCTTGCAGGGGTATGGGGACATCCCAGATTCCCGCTCGCTGGCACCACGGGGTGGGGCTGAGCCACTGATCTGCAGCTCTTCCTTTTCAGACTCGCAAATCCCTGTTGTGGCACAGCCCCCGCCCGCCAGCACGGAGCCGCTGCCGGCCGCCAGCACCGGTACTGATGCCTGAGGCTGCCCCCATCCCGCTGGCTCCCCCAGGACTCGGGGCACCGATCCTCCTTTGGGACTGTCACTTTCCGGGACCCCGGTCCCGCCCGCTGGGCTGGCTCTCCAGCCCCAGCCGGGGTAGAATCTCAGGTTAATTTGGCCAGCATCAATGCAGAGGCTCCCGGGCCCCTGCTCAAGCTCCGGGGCGATGCCCCTGCGTCCCAGCACTGGTGGTGGTGGTGGCCCAGAGCCCGTGGTGCTGCAACCCCCCCGGTGCCTCGCCCGCTGCCGTGCCCGCCAGGCACTGAGCACAAGCAGAGAGCGCTCCAGGCCCGGCTCCGTAGCTCAGGCGAGGCAGCCGAGCTGCCCGAGACCATTAGCACTGTAACCTCTGGGGCTGGGCTGAGCCCACTCCCCCCTCACGGGACCCTCCCGATGGGTGCTGGGTGCCAAACGCTGCTGTGGGGTCGGGGTGCTGCTGTCTGTACCCCTTTCCTCTGCCCCCTGGGTTCGTCTGCTGGGTTTTGTGGGCACCATTAAAGGCTGACGGGAGGGGAGCACGTGTCCTCCTGGGCTGATCTGGGGCTGCTGGAATGCTCCGCAGCAGGATGTGCCTCTGCCTGGTCCTACCTGTGCTGGGGGCTGTGCCCATGGGTCCCATGGGGTGGTGAGCTGAATGGGGCATGGAGTAGGCAGGCCGTGTCTGAGTGGGGTGAGTGTCACTTGTGTCCTGCCACCCACCTGGAACCACTCTGTGTCCCCTGCTGCTGGCTCCCATAGGCTCTTCTCTTCCCTCTCCTTGCTGCTGCAGTCCTGGAGCCCTGCTCCCCACTGCCTGGCCAGGCCCCCTGCTCCTGCCCTGCTCTCTGGGGAGCTGTGGCCCCGTGGAGCTCTAGGGCTGTCAGGGAGGGGGCTGAGGGGGGAACACAGTGAGCCCCTTGCCCTTTCCTCCCACCCCTGGTCACTGCCTCTATCTGCAGCTGCATGGGCTCTGTCTCACCCCCTAAATATAGCCAGGGTTCCAGGGTGAGTGGGGACAGAGGGGCCCTGGCACCAGCATTGCCACCCTGCTGACACTGGGCTTGAACTGTGGGGTCTGGGGGATCCCAGCATCCCCTGGCCCAGCTGCTTGCAGGAGGGGGCACCCCCCACCACCGGCATCACTCCCAATCCCACTGTGCCCGGGCCCTGCTCCCCTCCGGCTCTATGGCCCCAGCACCAGCCAGCCCTGGTCCCCTGGGACCTCCCCAGGTGGGAGGCAGCGGGGGAGCCCTGGAGAGCAGCCCTGCTCACCTGGGGCACTTGGGGCTGCCCGGGCCGAGGGCTCCGGGCTGGGATGGGGTGGGGTGTGCACGGTGGAGAGGGTTGCTGGTCCCTGGGGATCAGCCAGTCCCCGGAGTTCAGCCAGTCCGGGGCTCAGCCCATCCCAGGGCCTCAGCTGGTCTCGGGGGATCAGCCGGTGCCGGGACCAGCCGGTCCCTGGTGGGCTTGGGGGGTCCCGGGGGGCGGGCAGGGCCGGTGGCCCCCGCCGCGGCGCCGTGACTCAGTGTCACCCGACGCCGCCGACAGCTGCGGCCCCGGCGGGGCGGGGGCGGCTAAAATTAGCGCCGGGGGCCAGGGCCGGGGCCGCGACAGAGTGGGGAACGGGCGGCCGGAGCGGAGCGGAGCGGGGCTGCGGGGCAGAGCCGGGCCGGGCCGGGCCGGGGTCGCGGCCATGAACTTCGCAGTGGGGCTGAAGCCGCTGCTGGCGGAGGCGCGGAGCATGGAGAGCCTGGAGAAGCAGCTCATCTGCCCCATCTGCCTGGAGATGTTCTCCAAGCCCGTGGTCATCCTGCCTTGCCAGCACAACCTCTGCCGCAAGTGCGCCAACGACGTCTTCCAGGTGGGAGCGGCCGGTGGGGCGGGGAAGGCACCGGGAACCCCGGGACCCCAGGCCAGGGATGCGGGGGGGGCGAGCGGCACCACGAACAGCGGGCCCCCTTGTCGAGGGAGACCTGGCCTGGCACCGGCCCCGGGACCGGCCCCGGGAGCTCCGGCTGAGCTGAGCTGAGCTCGGGGCCGCTCCCGACCGGCGGAGGCGGGGAGCGGGGGCCGTGTCTGTGTCCCCACCTGTGTCCGTGCCCGTGCCCGTCTCCATTTCTGTCTCCACGCCTGTGTCCGTGTCTCCGCCCGTGCCTGGGGGGTGCGGGGTGCGCAGCCGGCGGGGTCTTGCTCCCCGGATGGGAGTTGCCGGGAGGCCGCCGAGGTCTGCCGGGGTACCGGGGGGTTCGTGGTGCCACCGTCGTGACCCCCCGCCTGCCCCTCCCAGGCTTCCAATCCGCTGTGGCAGTCGCGGGGTTCCAGCGCGGTGCCGTCGGGAGGGCGGTTCCGGTGCCCGTCGTGCCGGCACGAGGTGGTGCTGGACCGGCACGGGGTCTACGGGCTGCAGCGGAACCTGCTCGTGGAGAACATCATCGACATCTACAAGCAGGAGTCGGCCCGGTGCGGGGGAAGGGAGCCCAGGGGGGCACTGGGGATCCTCACGGGAGGGCAAGCACAGCGGGGTAAGGGGACCCCATGGAAGACCGGGCATGCAGAGCTGGAGCTGGAGGGGTCACGGGGCCCATGCGGTGCTGGGGTGTCCCTGGGGCTGGGAGTGACTCTGGGAGTAAGGGTGTTACTGGGGCTGGGGCACCCCTGAGGCCGGGGGTATCCCTGGGGGCCAGAAGTATCTCTGGGGCCGGGGTGTCTCTGGAGATGGGGGGGGGGTCCCTGGGAGCTGGGGTGTCTCTGGGGTTGGAGGTGTTCCGTGGGGCTGGGGATGTCTGACCGAACCCCCTCCCACCCGACCCTCCCCAGACCCCTGCACAACAAGGCCGAGCAGCACCTCATGTGCGAGGAGCACGAGGACGAGCGGATCAACATCTACTGC